GAAAGAGACCATAAGTTGCTGCCAACATCAAGGAAGCAAGATTGCCAAGGTTTGTCATGTCATGTCATTTTGACATTTGCTATTGATAATTGGACAAATGAAAACAATAAAATAAAATTTTCACACCGATGAAGCCGCACGGGAACAGCTAGTGGTTTATAAATGACCACAGAATTTGTTAGTTTTTTCTTAAAATAAAAAGTCATGTATATAAAATAAGGATTAACTCTAGTTTATTAAGTAGAATAAATAAATATTTTAAAACTTTAGACTAATATCCTAAACAAGAAAATTCGTATATATTGGATAAACTTAGAATTTTTTCTTTTTCTTTCGTCCTTTGTAAGCTATAAAATTTAAACACTGGCTGGTAATTTCTCTTGACCACAAACAAAAAATATGCATAGAAAAAAAAACAAAAAAACGCATAACATTAGGACATTGTGTACGTTGCCTTTGTACCATCAGCTGATCGAAAAAAGTAGCCCGAATTTTGCATAACTAAAACGCACAAAGGATGCATTTTTTCTATACAACGCAAAATAAACCTTAACAACACGGCTTTAGAATTCATATTCAATTTTAAAATTAACGGAAAAAATTTATTAAAAAAAATAAAAGTACAATTCTTGTTATTCTAAAATCAACCTTATTCCAAAGGGATAGAGTCGAATTTGTTGTGCGATGAAATGTCCATTTCGCATTGCGTGAATTGTACTGGCAGAATGCACGTGCGTTGTACAAAAAAAAATGACAGGTAGAGTTACTTCACAGATGATCGTCAGCTGTTCGCGAAAAGAAAAGAATTTTTTATATTACGAACATTAAACAAGCAAAAATGAGCTCTAGCCAAAGCACATACAGTTTCTTTTCCTTTACATTTTAGGGTTTATTTTTTAATTAGGTACTTCTAAAACATTATTTCATATTCACATTTGAGTTTTTAAAGTGCATTTAGTTTTTTAAATGTTTAAGAAACAAAAAAAAATTCTTGTGAAAATCTAGCTGTTTCTATTTCATCCGCATGAAATTATAAAAACTTTATTTCATTGTTTACATTACGTAAAAAAATCATTTGCAAATGTCTAAATCCAATCACAATGACAAAAAAGGTCTTTGCCATTGGCTAACAATTACCAGCAATCTTTCTTTTGTTTGCTGCTATTAGTTCTTTCCCTATAGTGTGTCTAAATAATTTAGATTAGTTTGACAATTAATTTCAAATTTAGTAGGGATGGGTTGTGTAAAATCAGTCATGGATCTTATCGATTTTTGATTTTTATTCTTATAGAAGTTGGAATCGGTAGACTTATACTTATAACTTATGAAATAAAAAAACACACTGTTTTCTCAAATTAATATAACAAATAATGAGAGTAAATCAACGTTTATTACTACTACAGCCGTCCGTAATCGAATTGGATTTCGCTATTATTTCTGTCATCGCTAAATTCTCTACACTATAACCAATACTAGAATTGTCCTATAAATTAGTGAATAAAAAAATTATACTTTTAGTTGAGTTCGATAATTATTTAAACCGAATATTGATAGTTCATAATTGTTCGCTGCGTGTTTGTTTCGTCATTACGATACCTGTCTATTAAGTATGACATTTGCCTTCATACAAATTGAATTCGATACTTCATATGCATCATTTATCAAACTAATCTATCTTATTTAGACACACTATAACTTATTTTTCCAAATTATTCATGCTTTCAAATAAATAACTTGATAACATATATCCAATATCAAGACTAAATTGTAGAACTTTTTATTAAATAAAGAATTATTCGAATAATTTTACCCGCAAATCAGTCCGCATATATGTTCTTATGACTATATGTTCTTCCAGACTAGCCTGTACATTTATACCAAATTAGATCCAGATCCGTTCAGCCGTTTAGGCTACAAATTCCAACAAACATCCATCTAAACTTTCGCATTTATAATATTAGTATGATATGCTATGTTTGCTGACATCCTACATAACAAACAAGTGTATCTTATTTTATTTATTTACCTATTTTTGTTTATTTTTTATTTTTTTATTTTTATTATATTAGCACAGCAAACTTAACATCCATTATTCAATCACCTTCTTTCCCTTTGTAATGTCAGCACAGTATATACCCCTCATCTCTAACAAGAGTATGGATGAAATGATTTACTAATCCAAAGCCTAAGCACCACGTGTAGATCAGCTCTGAACTGACTCAACAGTTCACCTCAGGCTTAAAGTATTGAGCTGTGGCTCAACAACCATGCAGTGATCATTGAATCACAAATGGAGTACAAAATAGAAATAATATGCCAATCAACTATTAGACAACTTATTTAATTGATACTGTCGCTTTAATCTCAGAGAAACACTTCCCGTCAGGACTCAGGTTGCGTGCCAATCTATACATACTTCTAGTGACATTGACAGCTGTCAGCTAGGGATGTGATGTATATGCTGATAATCTAGAATTGCGCCAACTCTACAGCACGGTACTAATTTTGTTCCTAACATAACTTAGCCAGTATGTTCGGACAATATAGATTGGCACCAGTTAGTATTCACACTGCACCAGTTGACAGTCCAGTTGAGAGTTCTTTAACCATATACACTGGCCAAGTGAGAACTGCACATCTATATAGGTACAAAATAAACTCATTTGTGACCAGATCAATTGATCTGCTGTACAGGAAAGTGAGCTGATGTACAGATCATCACTTCAGTTAGAAATTTGTCTCTTTTTTATTAAATAGTGGGCTCTGTTATTTTGATGATTTTTTCAACATCAAGGTTGAAGATAATTTATAGTATGAAGAACAAGATTAGACATTTTAAATAGCAAATAACAGGCTAGAGTAATTCAGTAAGCTTGACAAATGACCAGTAGCTGATATCAATTGAGGCGCTGAACTATATAATAGCAATTTCTAATCCTATGTTGTACTGTCATAATTTAAAAATAATGAACATAGTTAGTAGGGGCTACAGTTTCCGTCACGTAAGATATCTGGCCAATCCAGCTCACTGAAGAATCTTAGAAACTCTTTGATATTTCTGATGGTACATTACTTTCATCAAAAAAATACATTTGATATGTTCCTTATAATTCATTTAAATAAAAACGCATCGTGTATACAGAGATTAGCATATCCTGTTAATGATAACGCTTTTAGGACATTTAAATGTTGAATAAATTAACGAATATTGATATTGCATTCGGAATGCGTCATTGTTAGGTTATAGGTGAATAGGAAACGATAATTCCAATTAGACTCTTGTTAGAGTACATTAACACTATTTTGAATAAAATTAACATCACTTACTTGGTACTGCACTGCCAGTTTGACCCATCTTCGAGATATTTGAACTCGTATGTTGTACCAAATTATCGTGTTTATATTGTTTGGATAATAATTACGCACTTATTAACACTATTAGTACTACGTAATCATCCGTAATTTCTAATCAAACACATGTTTACTATAAATATTAATTAAATTTGTTTTATAAAAGTCTTCTAAAATATTGTAAACTTTTCTTATTGGAATCTTGTAACTTATTAACTAAATTAGCCTATAACTCGGTAACCACTGTTATTATTAACATTGCACGGTATTTGTTTACATTATAGCAATAATAAAATTAACTGTTTTTGCCAATAAATTGATTTATGATCTTCGGTTTTGCAACTTGCAACTCTCATTTGACATTTGTGACAAAGGCGGAAGAGTAAAAAATATTGATAAGAAGATTTTTGTACAAATCTTTTTGTTTTACAATTCAAATAATACTGTTTTTAAAATTATTGAATTAAAATACAAGCAGATTTCTTTCTTTAAAAACCATTTTCTATTTTTCTTTTGCTTTTTGTTTTTCATAATCTGTTATAATTTTTGTCTTTGGCAGTTCTTATCTTTGGTTAATTTGTCAGTTGATTTGAAAATAAAGTTGTGTTTGAAGAAGTTGTAGATTTTACTTTTATTTAGTTAACAATTATTGTTAAGAATAATGTCTCGGATAAACAGACCAGGTAAAAAGAATGCCTTATTACAACGTAAGGAAAAGCTTTTAGAAGAGTTGAGATTATGTGACAAACAAATTGAGGAAGCTAAACAAAATCAAACAAACAATAATTTAAAGTATGAAGACAGGTAATTTCCTTTAAAATACGTATAAATATAAACTGTAGTAAAATTAAACTTCATTACAATTTTATTTAAATTTTAAGCCATTCTAGGTATCTTTTTTCGTAGTATCGTCGTTATTCGTCCGACTTTTACAAAACATACATAAAAAAGTAAAAAAAAACAGTAAAAGTTTGCGCATCATACTTATCAATATAAATGAGTTAGTTTAGACTGATGTTAGAGTTTGTAACCTTTGCTGAACGGATTTTGATGAAATTTGGTATAGATGTAGAGGATAGTTTGGAAGAACACAGGCTACTCACTTTTGTTTATTCCACGCACACGGAGTCGCGGGCGATAGCTTGGTCTACTAGTCTTACTAATATAAATGCGAAAGTTTAGATGGATGGATGTTTGAGTTTGTAGCCTAAACAGCTGAACGGAAGAATACAAAGGCTACTTTTCAACCGGGAAATTATTATGGTTCTCATGGGATACATAAATATGTTATAATGGCTGAAACAAATAAAAATTAATTTGACATTTCTCAATTTTTTCACAAATAAATTTATTATTTCAGCTCCGATTCCGATACAGAGATATCATTACATATAGAGAAAGGTAAATCATTACCGAGTTTAGTAAGGAAGAAATCAGCGTTACAGACGCGTTGTAATGCAACAGCGGAGCTCACTGGTCTCGAAGTGCTGGAGTCAACTGTGAATATCTTAACTGAGAGTCCAGAGTTAAATGGGTAAGAATTATGAATAAAAAAAAAACCATTGATTAATGAAAGGATATGTTAGCAAAATACAAATGTTAACTAGTACTTTGTTTAGTTGTTGACCGACTTCCCAAAAGAAGGAGGTACTCAATTTCGTCAATATATTTTTTTTTATTTATCCACACCTTTTACTAAACTACGGCACAACTGTTCAGCCTCTCTTTAATTCCTATGCGCTTTTATAGAAATGCAAACTCCTCAATGTTTAGTTTGGAAACTAAACAGTTGAGTTGGATAAACAATTGACAATATCACAACATTTGTGCGATGGTTTAGTCAAAGGTGTACACTTTATGGGAAAGAGATGTCAAATTTGTTAGAACCTCCAGAACCTCACTTATTAATGTAGTTTACTTCATCTGTCTTGTCTATAATTTATTATATACTAGCTGTTGTTCATGAACTCATCTGCGTGAAATTAAAAAATATAGCCTATCTTAATCACTGATAACATAGCTTTTTAACTTTTGAAATTGGCCCAGTAGTTTTTGAGTTATCAATATATACTATAATAAAAATCTTTCCTCTTTATAATCAATATTGAACAAAAATATAAAATCATAGCCCATATTACTCACTGACAATGTAACTTTTTAATGGTAATAACTTTTGAAATTGCCCTAGTAGTTTTTGAGTTGTGTCAATTCATACTATAATAAAAATCTTTCCTCTTTATAATCAATATTGAACAAAAATATAAAATCATAGCCCGTATTACTCACTTTTAACAAAGCTTTTTAATGGTGATAACTTTTGAAATTGTCCCGGTAGTTTTTGAGTTATTTCAATACAAATCTTGTTTTTTATAATATTGGTCATCAACTTGCCCTTATCCCTTATGGAGTCGGCACAGTATGTGCTGTTCTTCCATAATATTAGTATATATTTCTTACAGAGAGCCGCCAGTGACCGAAGAAGGGGTATGGCATGAAGTTATTGCGGAATGCAAAGTGGATTTAATACCATTTACTATATCATTCTATGTACATCAACCAGTAAGTGTTTATATACTAGTTTTTACATGCAGAATTTAAAAAACTGAATAAGCCTATGTGTTCTTCCAGACTATCCTCTGCATCTATGACAATCATCGAGATTTGTTCAGCAGTTTAGGCTGCAAACTCTAACAAACATTTAAACCATTTTATTTCGTAAGATTAAGTAATAACCGGTAGAGGTAGACGTATAAAGAGATGGATTGTGTGAAAGGTGATATGATCAAGAAGGGAGTGACTGAGATGACGGATGATAGAGTTTTGTGGAGGACAAAATCCTATTGCGCCACTACTGGAGTAGAATAAGGAGGAAGATGAAAAAAAAATATAGTAACAAGCGAAAATTTAGATGGATGTTTGTAGACTAAACTGCTGAACGAACTTGATAAAATTTGTCTCAGTTGTGGAACAAAATATTAAAGAACACATAGGCTACTTTTTATTTCGGACTACTATACCACACACTTGGTTACTTTTTTTTATGATATACATAAAAAGGTGCGGCGAAGC